ACAAGACCACGAGAACCAAATGAGTCCTTTGAATTAAACCACAACATGCTGGTTTCGTCTGGCCAGAAGAGAACTGGTCCCCCGACTGAGCCTGGTTTCTCCCAAGGTTTTTTTTCTACATTTGTCTTATTAATCTTTGTAATTTGCACAAAAAAGGTATAATTATTCTTTGCCAGATCTGTGGTGGCAAGTATGAAAAGTTGCCATGAAACAGATGGCAGTTTATAAATCACAGTAAAGCTCTGTCATCATTTCCAGACGATATGAATCAAACTGATGCTGAGTCACAAAAAGTCAACAAGAACCAAACCTGTCTGGGGCTTAAAGCAGACGCAAATGTGGATCTCTCTTTGAGAAAATGAGGAAATAACTGGCACAGGATATTCCAAGACATGTTGAGCGCAATGAATCATCTGCTAGGAAATGTTAAGCCACACTCTGAACAGAGCACATCTATATTAGCGAAGGCCATATTAGGACCTCTGGGCGACGGTTTAGAGAGTAATACTCACCCATCTCCCTAGAAACAGGCGATATGGCAGCATTTTCCCCAATCTTTGAGAGTGCATCGAAATATGCCTTTCCAGCAAAGGTCATTGCTGTAAGAGAGTAAATAACTCATATTGATTAACAGGAACTGGAAGCCAAACTACCTGTATTCCAGCAATTTTGAGAGAAATATTGCTTTTTTGTCAGAGTTTTAGGTTTCATTTGAGCTGTTTTATGCAAAAATGTAGGATTATGTATATTTATTCTTTTGAAAATGAACTGATGTGATTACCTGTCACTGCTTTGTCGTAGCTCTTCCCCAGGTTAACCAGATTCCGCAGACTTGGGTTAAACTGCTCCATCACATTCTGGAAGAGCAGGAAATAAAGCTCATATTTCGAAGTTACAGGGGAAGCAGCTTACTGCTGCTGAATGAAACTGAAGAAACTTCAAAACTGACTCAAAATAATGTGCCCAAAAGATATTTTGTAAAATGCTTCAGTTGTTTTATCGATACAATCAAGCCAGTGGTGTCCAATGTTGTTTTGGACCCCATCGACTTTCTTTGTACCGACAACACTTGAAACATTCTTCAAAATATCCTCCGGGTTTGGAAATATGATGATGAGTAATGATGATATTTGAATTTTTGGGTGAACTGTCCCTGTTTCTACATTTTAAAAGGGCAACTTTTCCCCCATTCTAGGTAAATCCCATTTTTTTTGTCCATGCAATAAAACACAACAGAGATTTACAACACAATTTGCTTTCTAAAAATATCTCTACTGTAGCTAAAAATACATGTGTTTAATCATTGACTTGTAATTATATTGCCTATGAGATCAAAGTCCTGCTTAAGTAAAGGGCCCTCTGGATCTCTAGTGACCTTACCCTTCTGTAATATAATTCTGGGCAGTTCCTCTGCTAATTCCCAAGAACACACCCTTGGCAAAACAATGAACAGTCAGGTATGCAATAACAGAAACAGTCCAGCACAAACTGGTTTCTTAACTCAACCCAGAAACCCAACTGAAGCGCTTTAAAATACACTCATACCGCTATTGCACAATTTACGCGCACCTTGATGACAAAACGTATAATATATACGTATACAAAAAGTGGCATAAAATAACACTTCGTTATTTAACAAACCAACACAACTTTCACGGGGCTGTACGTACTGGGCATAACAACAGGTGGTCAATGCCAAATAATATACATATACATGTGGTTGTCTTAATAAAAGCTAATCACTGACCAATAAGATAAACGCAGTTTAAACCGACGCTACCTTATATGTGCTCTCGGTGAGTTTGTTCACGTCCTCCGGGGTTCGAGACATTTTTGCAGGTATTCTCCAAACGTCCTTGGTGACAATGTGTTTGTTTCAACTTCCGAAATTGTGGCTGTCTTTTCGTCCCACCTGTTAACGTGTTTGAAGCGACAGCGCTCGGGCGCTCTCGAGAACAACACGATACTGCACTGATGCACTAGAGAAGGATGAAACCTTTCCGCGCTACCTCATGCCACACGTGGAAAGGTGGGATCCGTGACGTCAGAGCTTTCTACGGTCAAACAGAAATTAAATCATTTTTCTTTCCCTTATCTTTCATCGTTTGTCCCCTGCACTGTTCTTTTTGGTTACTGACTGTGGGTATATTTTTTAAAGTTTAATTATCTGATAGGCTATATACAGGTGCATCTCAATAAATTAGAATGTCGTGGAAAAGTTCATTTATTTCAGTAATTCAACTCAAATTGTATATATTTACTGATTCCAAATTACATTACAGAAATTGTAGTTAGTACCGTAATCGATTACATTACACAATATAATCAGACTACTTTTGGGTTACTTTTAGATTACTTTTGACCTATCTCGTATCAGGGGCGTGTCTAGAGCATTTTAAATGGGGGGGCCAGTCGGGGGCACTGGCTCAAAAGAGGGTGAGGGGGTTGTGTTTGCGGAACGATGTATGTTATAATCCATCGTGTACACTCGCTAAACAAAGAGTGACAGTGACAGAGCAGAGCCAATTCATAAGACAACAATATTTAAAAGCACACGTCTATGGAGTCAATAAAATGCCACATATATATGCAAAATAATAAAGTTTTGCAAAAGAAAATAAAGTTTTGCAAACGAAAATAAAAGTATTGAGAAAAAATAAATGTGTTTTTTGCAAACAAAAATAAAGAATTGCAAAAGAAAATGAAGTATTGCGAGAAAAATAGGCTACGGGACTGTGTTGCACGCGATGTAGACAACATTCGAATAAAGTTTATTATGAATAAATGTTAAATAAAGTACATAAAATAAAATGGGCCTACAAGAAAACATTTTTATCCATTCCACAAGTCTTGTAAGTCCATGTATTTTATTGATATTATTATTATTATTGGTAATATTTTTATATTCGTTGTTATGTATTTGATTTTTTTTTTACCTTCATTTCGATCTCTTTACTTAACGTTCAGGGCTGCGTTTCCCAAAAGCATCTTAAGCCTAAATCGATTGAAGAACCATTGTCATCATTTGGCTTACGATGCTTTTGGGAAACGCAGCCTTGAAGAGTTTTGTAAATAATAGCCTATACTGTAAATGCCCGACATGCCAATAAAGCTTTGATTATGCTATATGACAGGAATTTTTACTGGAAGTGCAGTTTAGAGGATGAATTTAACAATAACTGTATAAATACCCTAACCCTATAATTATAAATACTAGAATTATAAATGAATAATTTGCGTAGTTTCATTTGTAAATGAAAACACCACTCATTTATCGTCACATACAGGTGTAAATGCAATCATAAAGTCAAAACTTTATTGGCATAATTGTCAGGCGTTTACAGTATTTGCAAAATATATGGTAGCATATACTATCAACTAGAAGTTGTTCCCTCAATAGGATCTCATGGCCACGACATATTATCATTATTTTGCATATATATGTGGCATTATATTGACTCCATGTCAATATAATGCCACCACGTAGACACGCCCCTGTCTGGTATATCACATTGATTTAAATAGGAAATTAATAAATTATATATTCCATTCATTGTTATTAACAAAATGAAGTGCATTAAACATTACATTACGTCAAGGTTTCCCAATCTGGGGTTTGTGAAGGAACTACAGGGGTGTTGTGAGTTTAATGAAAAGCTAAGAATTAATTAAATCATAAAAATGTTCAATCAAAATATATAATTTTAAAATCAATCAAAATAAAACACGTACTAAAAATGAAATATTTTATTTGTTTACATAAATGTCATGTGACCGTAACCAAGGTCAGAGAACCATGAACATGCAAGTATGATGGCTTATTAAAATATTTATTTTTAAATCTCAGGGGTACTTCAAGTAAATATATTAGGTGAAAGAGGATCAGATGACAAAAAAGTTTGTGAATTTATGCATTTTAATGCCAAAAGTGATAATTCAAATAAAAAATAATGTGTTTATCAGTAGTTGATGCAATGTTGAAACACTTTTTAAACCTGAAATGATTTTTGTAACTCCAATAGTCAAATACTGTGTCTTCCACAAAACTGGAAGACTTTCTGAATGTATAAGCATTAGGCCATTTTAGAAAGGACCATTTTAAAGATGAAAAAGATGAATTAGGGAGAATCAATAAATTATGAATAATTTATTGCTATTGTGTAAATAATATGCAATCATGTAATCCATAAAAAAGTAACTGTAGTCTGATTACGAGTATTTTAAATCGTAATTTAATCTAATTACAAGTAGGCCTACTTCATTTTTGGAATCTGATTACTTAATCCAGATTACATGTAATCAGCTACTATCCAGCTCTGGTTATACACTATAATAAAGTCATAAAGTCGTTTAGTCAGAGACGAAATAATGGAATATGGTGGAGAGAGTCCGCACAGCCTGTTTCATTTAACATATATGCAGACTGTTTTCGGCTTGAAAACTATTAAAAATACTCTAACATTTAAATTTCCATTTCTCTCTGGGTAATTAAAGATAATTTTGTGCAACTATGGATTGAAACTGGTACCCTAACAAGCATGATAGTGAGAGTGATGTGTATATTGAAGATTGATATTAAATTCATGCGGTATCAGATGATTCAACTGTGATAGAAATAATCTGATAAACATTACACTTTTTACAGCGCCACTTTGTGGCCGTTTATTTTGTAGGCCTACTATAGTTAGAGTTCCTGAGAAATTCTTACTGTAGTAAAAAGTGTGACTACTATCACCAGTCAACATGCCATATTTTAAAAGCTTTGGAATAATATGTAGAGACTTTTGCACATCCTCTAAAATCTATCCAGGCATCTGTAGAGGAATGGGCTTGTGAATTAGTCATGTTTCTGCATGAATTATGTTTTCTTTGGCAGCACAACACACATCATTATTCAGATTAGCATAAGGATTCAACACGTGGATATGATTTCAAGCCTTTACCAAACAGCATGAAAGACATTGAAAGCTTGACCCAGTCATACTCTAACAAGTCACAAGCTGTCGTCTGTACACATTTAGAGATCCATGCTGACGAGTCCACATGAACTGGTATGTATAGCTTGTAGTTCTGAGTAAAGGATATAAACATATGATTTTCTATTATGACTTTATTATCGTTTATTCATGTTGATTGTTTATATTTCAAGCTGTAGACTGAATTCCATCAGGATCCAGAGTGTTCTGGTTCATGCTTTTCTCACACTGCTTTCCTCTCTTGCTTTTGGGATACCCGACGAGTTATCCCATCAGTTATCTGGTAAGCTGACTAGTCCTCTTATGTCTTTTGACTTGGTTGGTTACTTGGTGGTTACATTGTTTTAATATTTCACTATAGGAAATGTCAAAGGAAAGATCATTTTCCGTCAAATGGAAGGGAATTCAACATACTTGCGTGATAGTGGGAAGTTGGCATCTTACATACCCACCATGGTTTCATTTGAGCACTTTGACCCGAGGCATACCCTGCGCTCTGTCACTTTCATATACACATGGGACTTAGGCAATGGGTGATGGTTATTTGAACAAATAAATCCATTTCAATGAACTAAATGTTTATCTTCGAAATTGTTTTCTTTACAGTTGTCATTGTTTTTTAGGGAAGTGCGTAAAGGCCCAGAGCCTTTTGTGACATGTCACTACACTTTACCAGGGAACTACACATTTCAACTGAGAATTGAAACCAATACACCCCAACATTCCAGAATAACTGGGCTGTACTCTGTAGATTTGACTGTGTTAGGTGGGTGCAGAATCATTATCTCTTTTAATTGACTCTTTATATGTTACCAGTGGTGTTAACATGTCAAAGATTCTTTTGTTTTGTAGATGCCATAAAGACCATTGAATTGAGAGGACCTTTAACTTATAACGTGGACCAGAGCAGCAGTCTGTCCTTTCAGGTTGGAGGAAGGTAAATGTATCTCAAGAAAGTAAAAAATTATTTGGGAGGACTGTTATTTTTCATATAGTCTTTTATTCTTCATCATTCTGAAAAAAGTCAACAGACTTGACTTTTTATAAAAAAAAATTTCTATTGCATGTGATGTGTGTAGTCCTCCGGTTTGGCTGTGCTGGAGAGTTTTGTCTGATTGCCAAACACCCAGTCCAACTTCCTGCAATTTAGTCAGGCTCTACGGGAACCAATTCAATCTGAACTACACCTTCAGATCAGTAGGAACATATTGCTTAGACCTGAGTGTGAGAAATATTATCAGCAACCTCCAGACATCCTACAACATCTATGTGCAGAGCAGCTGTAAGTATTATACATTTATCTCAAACAATTATTCATGAGTAACTTTGAAATGTTTCCTGTATTAAGTGGAATACAAAGTATTCCTCATGTTGTGGCACAATTGGAACATATAATGTCACAAAATGAAAATTCATCATTTACTCACTGTGATTTCATTCCAAACCTGCATGGCTTTTTTTTTCTTTTGTGGAACACAAAATGAGATATTAAAAGTTGTGATAAAGTGAATGGGGACATACATAGTGATGACAGAAGTTTTTTTTTTGAGGGGGGGTGAAATGTCCCTTTAAATGCATGGAAAGATGAGCCATGTGAATAAGCATGACCATTAAAAATCACTGTTTGCGTCAGGAAATACTGTGCTTGACCACATTTGGATCAAAACAGCATCAGTTATACAGCTTAAGGCCACTGATTGTTCATTCATGATTCATTTAGCCTCACCGTGAAGAAGTCTGAATTACCCAACAGTACAGCATTTTGACTTTCAGATGTTCAAGAAAAGTTATCAAAAGATTTCCGATTGATCTCGTTAGATTCGGAGTGGCATACCGAATCAAACGATACACAATTTTCCTATGTCAACCATTTTGAGCATGGACCATTTCGAATTTTGTAATAAAATGCTGTATTTTACAAACGCTTTAGAGTATTGTTATTATTCTTATAGAACTGTTTGTGGGAAAGTTATGAAATGACACGAGGCTATATCTCCGCAATGCTTTATTGGTTTCTGACCAAACTTGGTATGTGTTATAAGAGCATGACCTGAGTGTACATGAGTAGTTTGTCACAGCGCCACCTACTGATCAAAATGTAAAAAACGACATTTCTGCTTATAATTTCTGAACAGTTTGGCCAAAAATCGTAAGATTGGTCTCGTTAGATTCGGAACAGCATACCGAATTGAACAGTACCTAATTTTTACTATGTCGGCCATTTTGAGTTTTGTAGTAAAATGCTGTATCAACAAATGTCTTTAACAGGGGTCTCCAATCCTGCTCCTGGAAACGTACCATACTGCAGAGTTCAGCTTCAACCCTAATCAAACACACCTGAACCAGCTAATCAAGTTGTTCAGGACTACTTCAGGTGTGTTGAAGCAGGGTTGGAAGTTTGAAGTTGGAAGTTGGAAGTTTGAAGTCTGCAGGAAGGTAGCTCTCCAGGAGCAGGGTTGGGGAACCCTGGTTTTTACTGAGTAAAGACAGCTCCTTAGCTCTTCATTTTACCTCTGTTGTGCTTGGCCCCTTAATTGCTGCTTGAAGCTATATTTTTTATGTTTTTCTTTAGTGTCTCTTATACTATATCATTAAGCCATTAGGTGGCGACACGTGACTGTCTTCATGAACAAGTCATTGAATCATTATTCAACCAATTCATTAAAATTAATGATTCATACAGGAACAAAACATATTCCAGGTGTGCTGCTCAGAATCTAGATGGTTTGCCCTGTGGCGTTAGGGATGAAAAGAGTCATTTATTGTGCAATACCCTTTAAACTCTGAGTAAAATAAATTACTCCAAGTCCAATTAATGCAGAGAAGAGAAACCACATGAAGAGAGCGCGGTGCGCCAATAGTGATGGCCGTTCATAAATGATTCGTCGCTCCGTCTGCGTTTGCCCTTGCCCAAATTGCCTAGGCCTACTTTTAAAACGTGTTTGCTACATACCATATTGTACGTAAAATATGTGTTGTGTAACTTAGGCAATAGTGATATATCAGATCATTTTACTGACTTGATATTTGAATTTCGTTCAACAAAATAAAAATATTTTTTCAAATAATTTCATTCATCTGAGCGAGTTCAAATATGTTCAATAGATTCTCCGAATACATCCACATACGCAATCTTTGATCATATGCAACCAAATATATAGGTGTTAGCCTATTTATAAAATGATGCAGCAGAGTTTTGGTGTGTGTGTGTGTGTGTGTGTGCGTTTGTGAATTATATGTGTCAAATTTACAGATGCAGAAAAGTGCCTAAATGTGTGTTGTCAGAAAGATTACTTGTCAAACAAATGAACTTGAAATCTTTTTGGCTAAGGCCTATGTGACTGCATTGTGATAGGCTACATGACCTTGCCAAATTACTTCCAATAATCCGGATTCAGAAAATTGGTCAAGATAAATGTGTGTGCCCCCTAAAAGCACAAGTGGTCCCTGCTTTTATATACAGTAAAAGCAATATCACATCAAATATTAGGCTGTGACTCGGTCATGCAGTGCCATTTCCCACTAATCTTTGTTTGCTATTTTTATGTCTCATACATTCACTCTCATATGTATAAATACTTTTCCCCCTAGCTGTGAGTCTCATCTTCATATTGCCCTGTGCTGCAGTGATAGTTGCTACTCTCATATTCATCTCTGTGTCAGTGTCGTCCACAACAGCAATCCCTCGTGTCTAAGGCTCTGGTGAGTGTTTCAGATCAGGAAAGAGAACAAGAACAGACAACAATGTGAACTTGCTTATGTATTTACGCATTTTGTGGAAATGCTTTTAATTAAGTGTAACATTCAGGTTTGTCCACTAGAGGTTGACATAGACCAGAAAGTAAATGAAACAGCCTTTATCAGAGGATTATTTTTGGTTATCTGTCTAAAAAATGTCATTTTAGTAATGAGTCGGTGTTTCTTTCTTTCGTGGTTGTGAAGTTGTATAACTATTCTCTTAAGAATAAGCTATGAGTTAAATACTTTATTGGGATATTTTTTTAAAGGTGATTCAATTACAAAAACAATTCTGTCCCCTAGGATGATTTTAAAGTACTTTTTAAATCAATGTAGTCTTAAAAGATTTTTTTTAAAGTTTTTTTTTTTAAATAGTGTCTTATGCTAATTTGTTGAAGTAAGTGTTGAAATGTTAAATTGAACAGAATATCAAGCCAGATTACCCCTTGACTGATTGCTAGTTGGTCAGACACAGTCTTAAAGGAATAGTCCAAGTCCACCCAAAAATGAAAATTTGCTGAACATTTACTCACCCTCAGGCCATCCAAGATTGGGAACAGATTGGAACAGATTTGGAGCAATTTAGCATTATATCACTTACTCAACAATGGATCCACTGTAGTGAAAGAATGAGAATTCAAACGGCTGATAAAAACACAATAATCCACAATATGTCTTGTGAAGTAAAAAGCTATGTATAGGAAACAAATGCATCAATAAGATGTTTTAAATGTAAACCATACTTTTTGGACAAAATACAAGTCCATAATCCATAATAATGTTTCCTCCAGTGAACAAAATCCTTTAATCTCTGTTGTCCTCTCACATCTCCAACAACACTCAAAATCCATCAACATATTTGTATAGAACTGTTTTGGACTGTTTTTGCTTATAAATAGTGCTTGATTTGCAAATCATAATCTTCAAGATGGTGCTGATATCTTTTGATTCAGATCAGGGGACTTTTAACTGGTGAAAGCAGTATTATGAATAGAGGACTTATATTTTAACCATTTAATGATTGATTTGTTTATTAAAAAAAGTTTTTTGCTTCACAAGACATTAATTGATGGACTGGAGAAGCGTGGATTACTGATGCCTTTATCAGTGTTTGGACATTTAAGTGTCATTACCAATTATAATAAATGTCCGTTTTCTCTTTTTGTGTGTCTTTAGATGGCAGACATGAATTATCTTTCCTTCACAGAAATCGAGCTGCGTGCCAGAGATGCTTCGGTCACCTTACAGGATAATTCTCCTGCTTCTAAAACAAATGAAGCCCAGCCCCTTCTTCAACAGCCAGAGACTTCCTACAGCACCCAACCCTGATTGCCCTGTCTACATTACACTTGAAGTATTTATTAAAATCAATCTTTCATTGCATTATTTAGTTACGTGGTCTATCTACTTACTATTGAAACTAAGATCTTGGTTGAGGTCTTGACGCAACACCCTGTGAATCGACACAATACAGGAGCACTGAAAGCTTTTTGCTCATCTGATTCACTCTTCTCTGTCAGTGTGAATGCACTAATGCTTTCTGTGCTCTTTTTGTTTGTACTTGAGTGGGTTTCAAGGTTTACTTCATGAAGGTTCCATTTGTTAATGCGAACCTCCTTGAAATCCTAATGGATGTTGACACTGGTGGTGAATCTTTAAAAGTATAAAAGTACATGAGGTTAGAGCGATTGCATGCGCGTGCCTTGGAATATCGTTACAATTTTCAACCTGACCCAAATGTGCAAAACGCACCGCTGTACAGAATGACCATATTTCTTTGCGAGCGATTATGAGCGAGAGCTTCCTTGTCTAAGACCTAGAGCTCTTTCTCCTGGAATGAATGAGTCTGACCTGTATATTCCTGCTGTGATGATCAATGATATTTGCCATCTGCACTAGTACCAGGAAGACAAGAATTACAGCTCCACAAGGGACCGCAAAATACCTCTCTAGGTTAAAGGCTACAGATGAGCAATGCATCATATGTCTAGTAATAACTGTGCCCTTCAGCTCAAAAGTAGCAGGCATTATTCGCTCCCTTAGAAGTGTAGCAGGAGTCATACTGTATGTATGTGAAAGGACCTCTTACCAAAAGTTTAACAAAGATTTGTTTCCCTGTTTTTATTCCACAAGGAAACAGTCATCCAATTAGTAAAACTTGTAATAACTTACACCACCGTTCAAAAGTTTGTGGTTGGAAAGATTTTTTTTATGTTCTCTTGTGTTCATCAAAGCTGTATTTATTTGATCAAAATCCAGTGAAATAATATTACAGTTTAAAGTAACTGTTTTTTTTTTTTGTTTTGTTATTTTAAAACGTAATTTATTCCTTTGATGGAAAATCTGATTGCTTTACACACACACACACACACACACACACACACACACATTAGGATTCTTTGATTAATAGAAAGATTAAAAAGAACAGCATTTATTTGAAATACTGTATAAATATTTTGTAACATTATAAATGTCTTTAATGTCACTTTTGATCAATTTAATGCATCCATCTAAATAAATGTCTATTAGTACTTATAAAGCACATATTAATGCCTTATTCTGCATGACCATATTTTAGATCCATTGATTCTACCCCATACCTAAACTTAACAACTACTTTACCAACTATTAATAAGCATTATTAATAAGCATCTATAATCTTCCTTATTCAGATTAATTCTGCTTTCCGGAATTCACACATCATTCAGTAATTCAATCCAATATCTACTTCACTTTAAAGCTCATGTTGATGTGTGACTGAAATGCATTTGGCAGAGCTTGAGTAAACAAAATTCTTTAAAATGTTAATCATCTCAAGGATGTGAGCTGTGAGGAAGCTGGAGATTTTCACCCCCTGCAGGTGAAGGTCACAGAGATGCAGCTGTTTTCTTTCTAGAAGCCAAAGACCTTCCCAACTTTCCAAACTCAATACAGTATGTGCCACCACCTATGAGCTTTTTATCGTCATTTCCACCTCTCTAAAAGTCCTTTTCTTTTTTTTGTTAGTCCAGACTTGTGAAATGTCCCTTTGTGACACAAGCTTTGGCTTGGGACTGATCTCATCCCCTTAAGACAGGCTAATGCCCTCAGAGCCTGCACCTGTCTGTCAGAGCAGTGTGATTACATGCTCTCCTTCTATTTTTTGACCTCAACCACAGGTTACATTCAGAAAACAGCTCTACCTCATTATAGTACTTTTCAACTTTACTTTTCTACAGTATATTTTGGTAAATTTAGAGTAGCTAGAACAGCTGAACTAAAAAAATAACTACTGCCACAGACAAGCAAGGTCAATGCACAATGTCTGCTGTAAAGAAAATTGCTTGCTATTATAATATATTTTTTATTTATTGGTGCTGCTGAGAAAACACACTAAACCACAAAGGATAATATAACAGTAGAAAAAAAAGGAAACAGAGCAATAAAATGATTTCTAAGCAAACTTTATTTTTCATTGGCAATCACAGGTTAGCAGTGTCAAGCAAACCCTGAATAATTGGCACGGTAAACAAAAAAAAAGGCTTTTAAACAAAATATGGGTATCTTGACATTCCAACAAACAAAACAACACTAAATTAAATATCTGAAAAAAATGTTTCATCTTTAAAAACAGGGTATAAAAATATGATCATATATTTCAAGAAACAGACCTTGCAACATAATTCACAGTTCATGAATTGTCTTCAAAATATCCGACAGTGTTAAAGCATTTATAATCTTCAATGGGTAATTCAGTCAGTGTAAACAGATGGGCTTTAGACTCTAAAAAAAGAGTTGATTCTCAATATTTTTAATTTAAGGGGTCATATGATGTTGCTAAAAAGAACATTATTTTGTGTATTTGGTGTAATGAAATGTGTTTATGCGGTTTAAAGTTAAAAAACACATTATTTTCCACATACTGTACATTATTGCACCGCCTTTCTGAAACGCGTCGATTTTTATAAAGCTCATCGGTCTGAAAAGCGAGGTGTGCTCTGATTGGCCAGCTATGCAGTGCGTTGTGATTGACTGAATACCTCAAGTGTGTGACGGAAATGTTATGCCCCTTAACACACTCTCTGATGCCGTCTCCCGGCACGGCGAGACAAAACCAATAAAACCCATTACAAACGTCGCATCATATGACCCCTTTAAATATCTATTTATAAGAATCGATGACAGATTTTAAAAAGAAAGATTTATGGTGCCCTAAGCACATTATTACTGTAGCTCTGGCAGTCTGCAGTAATACTCAACAGGCTAACGGCACCACTGTAAATTTGATCTCAAATGTGATTTCCCTCACCAAAGTCTAAATTTAAGACTTTTGTACAACACAAGATCCAAGTGTTCCTCCTGTATAATGTATGGCCTTGTTCTTAAATCAAAAACAGCTTTGTAATGAAACATTAGCATGTTAACTTAGGCACTCTAAGACCACAGGACAACAATGCACACTCAAAGAGGACACGGAAAGCCGTGAGAACACTCTCTTTTGATCTAAAAGCTTTTGCTGCAGTCATGCCATGTTGTAATAATATTATTAGATGGCAACCCAGGATGTCCTACTTAGAGCTGTTCATGTCCTCAGAATTGGAATTATGAGTTTTTATGGCAACACTTAACACCAAAATTAATGTGTAATTTGAGTAAACAATACACGAAACCTCAATACAACATATAATGAAAATGCCTTTTTAATAACCATATAGTTTAGTCAGTGGGGCATTAGAAAGTCATTCTGTGCTAACTCTGTGCTAGCTACATTAAAATGTATTGTATGTTTTTTTTTATTTACAGATTATTCTTGCATTATCAAGAAATGAACAGTAGTCGCATACATAGGAATTATTAATCAGAAATATGAAATAACTGCATTTTTTTCTTCTGAAGCTGCTGTCATTTTAAGTGTTTCCACATGATAAGTTAAAAAAAAATTGCAATAATGAGTTCTACAAGGACATGAACGCTTTTTACAAGTAGTTATCTCATAATTCTGGTAATTTCAACATGGTGTGAACGCAGCTATATTTTAACAGGATACACATACGGATGTGTGCTTTTGTGTGCATCAAAAAGGTGACATGGTAATATACCATGGAGTATAATGTAAATACACTGTACATAAATGATAATCATTCAGTGATATGGTATTTTTAAGAGTACCATGGTAGTACCATCTTTCCTTTAGCCACAAATATGTCAACTGAATATATCAACGGAAATGTTCCATTTATCTGCATTTTGTAATCTATCCAGGAATATTTAAATATATCATTGATATAGTTCATTTAAGTAGATTTTTCTAAACTATTTGCTACTTTTTAAGTGATGAACACTTTTTGAGGATGAAAAGGATTTAATATCGCTCACTAATAGAATATTTGACAATATTAATTGTCAAATAGCCGATCTTCGCATAGCTCCAGCGGCCACTTTGATGCTCCACCAAACACCTCGATGTTACTGTCGGTCCAGGCCACCACATTCCCAGGTATGTAGGATGAGCAGTTTGACATGGCAGTGATATCCGTGGAGCGCAGGACCCGATCCCAGACGTTAAAGTGGCTCAGTTCCCCCACAAAGGCCTGGGTGGCATCAAAGCGCCCCCCTACTACATCCTGTTGAGGCCATAAACGACAGGCCTCGTTAAGACAACAACAATAACCCCTTTTATTCACTCTTAGAGGATGTGCATGCTAACTCTATGACATTGTTTACTGCCTGAGGTCAAGTTTTATTTAAAGTGTAAAGTTCATGAGTCAGTAACACTATTGTGCAGGGGTGGCATAATATTAGAGATACAGTGTGACTGTGTACTGTGAGGTCTGGGAATGCAGCAAAAACTGCTGCATCAGCTCTGTTTATGTTCTCACCTGCTCTTGGCCCAGGATAAGGACTCCTCCGGGCTTGATAGGGTGCCAGGGAGCCAGATTTTCTCCTGAGCCCAATCTTTGGCCATCCTGGTAGGCTTCCCAAAGCCCATCCCTAGTAGTCCAAGTGATGCAGACATGGTGCCACCTCCCATCACTCAGTGATAGAGGTAGCTGTGCCACCTATTTGACAACAGGAGGTATTAAAATAGTTTAGCAATATTATTTTCTTTAATGCACAAAGTGGGATCTTAAGTTTCTTTTTTTCCATACAAGGAATTATACTGCCAAGATGTAAAACAACAAAAAAGCACCATACAAGGAACCAGTTCTTGTGGAGTTATAAAGTAAAGGCAGGGATGCAGGAAGTAGGGGTGCTGAGGGGGCTGCAGCACCCCGTTTTCACATGGTTGCAAATGCAACGCCAAATTTGTTCATTTAAATTTATTCAGTTTTAGCATTTAATAATTTATTTGTAATGATCTCTGAAATGTAAATTGTAAGTGGGCTATAATAAACCCATGTTTATCTTTATAAACATGATTAATTTTACTTGTGATGTTTTCTATATGGGATGATTAGCCTAATCCCCGCCCCCCAAACCCCAACACGGACACACACAGCACCCCCAACCGAAAACATCTTCCCGCGCCCCTGAGTAAAGGTATAGTTCTCCCCAAAAATTTCTCATCATTTACTCACCCACATGTCATTCCAAACCTGTGTGACTGTTTTGGTTACCATTGACTTCTATTGTATGGGGAAAAAAATCTAAGTCATACAGGGTTGGAATGACATGAGGGTGAGTAAATGATGACAGAATTGTAATTTTTAGGTGAACTACGCTTTCAAGTCATTGTACTTTTAACATTTAATCTTCATCTCCAATCTCATCTGCAGTCGTGTTTTTTTTAATTTCCATGTCACGTGAACTCGATGTTGGTCGTCAATGACGTCAACCCTCATGCAATGCATCTAGACAGTATTAATAAATTTGACACTTTTATGCTGCTTTTCCTTTTTTGAAGTTTGTCAGTATAAATCACCATCTTTTTGTACTATTTGTTGTAAAAAAGTATGAAAGACATTTCTATTGTTTATAAACATACTCATAAGATTTCTTATACATTCATTATGTATCATCTATGTCAATGTAGAAGGTATAAGTTAAATGATGAATAATAATCTGCAGTGTAATAATAATAGTAATAATAATCATCATCATCAGTGTCCTCATAACATTCAATGCCAAATTTGCATTTCTTACGTTGGTTCCTTACCTTGTCATTAATGAGCAGTTCTATAGGGTTATGGCCCCATTCGATCAGTACAATCTCATTTGCCTGTCCAGGCACTCCATAGGAAAATGGGGTTCCGATGCCAGGGCTCAAACCTGACTTGAGCCACATGCAGATAGTGAAGGCGTACATTTCTGGCAGGCTTTTCTTTACTTGTCCAAAAAGGTAATTTGTGCGAAGAGGAAGAGAGATCTTGAAATTCTCTGGTGATTTAAATCCAGCTCCTCCTAAAGTCAAAAAGTGTGATTATTGCGTCATCTCTTGAATGATGTAGAAATATGCTGATGGACCACAAAACAACTTGATTACCCCCTTTTGTCGCTTGGGGCATCGTAAGTAACTTTGGCATTTGTGGTTAAGGGATAGAGACATAGCCTACTAACTAATGAGATAATCCGTCAATCTTCAACGCCTCCACATAATTACCAAAATAGTCGTGGCAGAGAAACTTCCGGCACAAATGTGATTTTAGTCATTTGATCTGCTTATTTATTCATGTAGAATATGACAAAGCGTCAAACTTCCATAGCTAAAATAAACCCTCTTACCTCTAGATTTTCCAATCGATCTTTCAGACTCTGCATGGTTTTTCCAAGAACGTCAATGGTGTCATTTGGAATTTTAGGCACATCGTCCATTGTGTCCTTATTAATTTTCCTAAACGCTTCGGAGTCAGACTCACAGCGTGACAGCTTAGACGTCAGCTCTTTAATCGTTTCTAACTGATTGACAATTGTCTCCTTCTGTTGTAGGATGGTCTCGCGAAGTTGCATGACGGTGTTTCTCAGTTCCTCCTCCCGGACCGCTGCGCTTTGAACAGGCAGAGACTGCACGGGGCAACTACCCTTGTCAATGGGGACTGCAGTACATAGAAAGCGCTCACTCACACAAAAAAAAACAAAGATTCAGTATTCCCTAAAATTCCCTAAAAATAATACAACTCAGAATATGACGCGAACCTCCAATAATTAAATGTTAAACAACACAAATATCCTTTATGTATTTAACATTTGAAGTACATTAGAAATATAGTCTCACAGCAGAAATTGGAAAGCAGTGTTACTGTAATGTGGTGTTTTGTTTCATGTTCATGTTTTCCATGTCTTTTATTTTGTAATTGTTTTATGGTTTTTTATGGAGTAACGCAATATTGTAATACATTACTTTTAAAAGTAACTTTCCCCAACACTGTTAATGACTACCATCCTCCATCACTACCCATTGGAAACTAATATAAAAGAAATACATAAAACATAAAACACTCACATAACAGACAGTGTGAGTGTGTGTGTGTGTGTGTGTGTGTGTGTGTGTGTAAACCCTCCACATATGCTTAAACATGATATTTCTAGTTTACTTAAACATTTAGATGAAAAGCTTGTGGATATTATATAAATTATATCGCAAATTATAATGAAAAACTAACACAGATTATACTGGTTCTGTGATTTAAAAACAGGCAAATCAAATTTTACTTTCTTACCTCAAAATTAGTTTTTTAAACTGTACTTTTAAAAAAATTATTGTTTATTTTTTTACAGATACAGCTTCTTCTGTCTGGTCAGGTGGGTGGTGGAGGTCATGTATGATTGCATCCCTGCTCAGATCTAAATAATCATGATTTTAAACTGAACACTCTCTGGTGTACTCTATAGCTTATGGCTGTTCTGTAACTATATGTGGACAAGATGAAGTTAAATGAGATTTAGATTAGTCTGACAGGTCTCCGCAAGAGGTCACGTGTCATCTGCAGTAAAATGGAAATCAAAACAGCCAGTGCTGCATTTTAGGCTTAGTAAGCTTATTCACACTGCTGTGAGCCGTCGATAATGTGCGTTAGATAGTTTTAGCCAGGTTATCAATGCTCATGTCAGTTTTAAACTATTTAAAATGTCTTATAGCTTCCAATTTTTTTAAAACAAATAGGCTAGTTCTAATTATAAATAATAGAAACAGAACTAGAATACTTTGAATAGAAAAATATAAATAGAAAAAAAAATATCAACGCTGGTTTACGTAACTAAAAGTGGTGTGTCTTTGGACCAGGGCAGAGATTTCACAGGATCATTTCCAGATTGTGGCTATTCACCAGAGCTAGCCACTGCAGAGAAAACTGATGCCGGGAGCAGCACAAGCGTATTGCTGAGCCTGGCAGAACTTTGACACCTCCTCCCCACTGCTGGGAAGAACGCACTGTCAAAGGGACAACACACAATCAACAGTAGAATGTGTCCTTTTAAATGGATCCAAATGTTCATACTTGACAATCACACTGTTAAAAAAAAGGTGAAATTTGGCAGATGTGGATGCAACAACTTTACATTAAAATGTAGGTTTGGTTTTAAGGAACGAACTTAAATTTACAGTAAAAGAAACATATATGTGACCCTGGACCACAAAACCAGTCTTAAGTCGCTTGGGTATATTTGTAGCAATAACCAAAAAAACACTGTATGGGTCAAAATCGATTTTTATTTTATGCCAAAAATCATTAGGATATTAAGTAAAGATCATGTTCCATGAAGAAATTTTGTAAAAATTTCCTACCGTAAATATATAAAAACGTAATTTTTGATTAGTAATATGCATTGCTAAGAACTTAATTTGGACAACTTTAAAGGTGATTTTCTCAATATTTAGATTTTTTTGCACCCTCAGATTCCAGATTTTCAAATAGTTGTATCTCGGCCAAATATTGTCCTATCCTAACAAACCATACATCAAAGGAAAGCTTATTTATTCAGCTTTCATGTGATGTACAAATCTAAATTTTAAAAAATTGACCCTTATGACTGGTTTTGTGGTCCAGGGTCACATATTTCATTAACTGATACTAAACTATTGAAGTATTATAATGACTAAATATGACTAAGACTAAGATACTAAAATCTGTTTTTAACCTTTATAATAACTGACAATCACCATACCAATACGAAGATGCATGATGTCAAGCACACAAATACAAACACCATCATGCTAACACATTAAGTAACACTTTACAATAAGGTTCCATCTGTTAACATTAGTTAGGTACATTAATTAGCATGAACTAACAATGAAAAATACTTCTAAATCATTTATTAATCTTAGTTAATGTTAATTCCAAAATTTACTAATGCATTATTAAAATTAAAAGTTGTGTCTGTTAATATTAATGGACCTGAGCTGAACTAACAGTGAATATTTGTATATTTTTATTAACTAACGTTAACAAATAATTAAAAATACTGTAACAAATATATTGCTTGTTGTTAGGTTAATATTAGTTATTGCATTAACTAGCGTTAACCAGTGGCACTTAACTAGCATTAACCATTAGCACTTGGCACTATTGTAAAGTGTTACAATTTGATAAGATGTAACATAAAACATAAAATGTTTCTGATAACAAAAGCTTGCGAAGAAACAAAGTTATTTCAATGAAAACCCATCAAATGTGAAATGTCACGAGGAATTCTGAAATTTTCATTTATGTTTTTTTTTTTACACTGTAAATTTTTCGTTCTTTTTCAGTTCCAAAAACTGTACAGTATTTTATTTATTGTTAACCAATTAATGGATTTTCACTGTAGCATTTTCACAGTCTTTTACAGTTAAAATTGTAGAGACCTTCTTAAGTGGCATATAATGGAAATAATATAAAAGCCAGTCATAAAAGAGAATGTTATTAATGTTGAGATCATCTGTGCATATTCTTAGAGTGATGTTAGGTATAATGGGCCACTAGCAATACCAATGTCATTAGTTCTATTCCCGGGAATTCATGAACTGATACAATGTAGAATACCCTGAATTCAGTGAGATTTGTAAAATGTCCTACTTATTTTATCTATGGAAATTAATTTTGTTAGATTTGGACAACAAGATTTTGATTTTGTCAGATTTGGATTTTGTTAATAGTAAAACAGTCCTGATCCTGGATGCTCTACAATACTGCAGAAAAATGCTGATGATGAAATTTATGTCAAACACACTGTGCACATACCCTAATGCATAGAAAATAAACTATAGCCTACTTTGGGCTTTGGTGCAACTGATTTCTAATTGGAAATAGGTGGATTACAGGTTCATAGGGAATGACTTTTCTGTCATGATGCACTAGAAGTGTGGCATGGATTACAGCATGTGTTTACTGCAGTGCTTTGCCTGTAAACTGCAAGAAATACAGCACACCCAGTCCAGTACCAGAATCTGTTTCACAGATTATTCACTGAATAAACTCACAGAATGCATCAGAGCGGATACTAAATCAATCAGTGACTCACTACTGCAAGTTACATTATCATAATTTCTTTAATATATCCATGCTCTAACTTGCAGTGCCACCAAGAATACAATAATATATTTGGTCTTTATTTGTATATAACAATTGGCTTATGAGGCCTGTTTGCTCTAAAAAATAATATATGATCTTTTTACCTGTATGCCTCACAGTCATGCTTTGTTTAAGGTTATCATGAAAGCGAACAAATGTATTTTCTTTTTTCATATTTCGCTCAAAAAAGTTTTTGGTGGGTCTCAAGATTGATTATACCTCTCTGGGTGATCCCACAATGAAAAGGTTTGGGAACCTTTGGGAACTCTTCTAGTGGACAAGTTTCAACTCATCAGATCATTAGCAGAGTGCACATGAACTAAACTGGACTTATCAGGTAAGGGACACATCCAAAATGTGCAGTGCTGAGGGCTCTCCATAGGACCACTGCTCTAGATGATTTACTCAGAAGTAGCCTGATATCACACGAATACACTGTACAAAAATACAACTGATGAAGTATAATCAATAAAAACATTAGTCATTGCCCATGAATAGAGCACTTATGACTAATAACATCTCATACAAGTGTGTTTATGAGAGATGTAAAAGCCAGTGAATAAACAAGGCCTTTCACAAAACATATCGAAATGAGTTGATGCACTCTGTAGAGAAAATGCTGTCCAGATATTATACTATGGGCCTGATACCCTACACTCATTAAACTGAAAAGATGAGAGCTCTGTGTACAGCAGAGACACATTTGTGCTGTGAACCTGTGACCCTTTTTTATAAAAGAATGTGAGTCATCAGGTGTTCAGTGAACATCTCTGTGCTCTCACAGCCTCACCCTGAGAATATTCTTTAAATTTCCTAATCTCTTTCTTTACATCAGAAACTTACAATAAGGATGCATTGTCATTTTTAAAATGAAATAAAAATCTGTTTTCTAAATGCAAGATATATATGTGAGTGAGTGATTAATCAATGCAAGTTTCATTTTTAAAATATTTGTTTGGACCTCATCATTTTTAATCAAAATGTCTCGATTTTTTTAATCAAAAAGCTGTTTCACTCAGATGTATGTCAAAAAAGATCCATCACTACTTCTGTTTTATCACTTAAGACTTTAATATTTAGACTGGTGTACAAAACAATCAGTCCTAGGTTCCCTTTTTTCTAAACAGTGTGTAAGAACGGAAATGGACTCTATTCACAAACTATGATCACACGTTTACACAGTTTTTTATATTTTGATTTTTAAAAATTAAATGTCACTTTATAATACCTTGTGTTTTATTACCTTGGCATTAAATTACAGAAAACTGGTTAACGCTGGTGTGTGAGTGTTTCTTATACAACGGCTGAAGGAGTGACAACAAATTTGACATATTTCTTTTTTCTGACCAACCCTTAGAACCTCGGAAATGTAAAAAGGGTTCATTTTCATTACTTTATTGCATTACATTGCAACTTTTCTTTTTTCAATTCATGTAAAACTATCACATTAATCAGTTC